ATATTTAAAATTTACTGTGGGAATTTCCACTGGCCACATTGTTGTTCGTCATAATCCTGCGACAATGATATCATTACTGCCGCAGAGTAAATGTCTGAAAAAGTTGTTATTTTAAGTAATGTTAGTAAAGGTTTTGCAGACATAGTTCACATGAACTTTAATTTCCCAGGATGCCTTGGGGACACTCAGTTCAGCTTCAGGCTGCGTCAGTCGGTGGGTCGCAGATCTTCACGGTTCAAAGACGACATTTACAACCAAGATGCTCCTGTCACGCTGCAGGTGACTGACTGACTCACTGACTGACCGACCGACTGACTGACCGACCGACTGACTGATTGATTTCTCTTGTTTACTCAGAGGGAAGCATCCCATTTCTTTGGTTACGTCTATTTCAGACAAGTGAAGGATGTTTCAGTGAAGAGAGGATACTTCCAGAAGGTGAGGATCAGTCTATCACCAGGTGATAACCTGTGACCAGGTGAAGCGAAAGGTTCCAATAAATCAGATCAGGCTTTGCACAATAAAAGCTTCTTCACACCTGTTCAATTTGATTGACAGCTCAGTCATGTGACACTGAGCAGCTGATCATGTGACCATCTATGTTACAGTCTCTCGTGCTCGTGTCCAGGTTACCGTACACTCACCTGTTCCACTCGCTGCTACAGATCATCGCACCTGAGTTTTTTGAGAAGCTGGAGCCGTGTCTTGAAGCAGGTGATGTCATTATTACATCACAATCTCTAACCAATCAGAGCAGAGCGCTGAAACGTCACCTGACCTCTTTTACACGTCCTCACAGTTTGTAACGAGATTGACCAATGGCCTTCGCCCATACCTGGACTGACTCTCAATCTGCCTGTGATGGGCGTGGCCTTACAGGTGAGTCGAGGGGGCATGGTCTTACATTTGTCTAAAACACAGAGCTGTCTTCACGGTGACGAGTGTGAGACTGACACTGGCCTGTAGGTGGCAGCATAAAACCAGCTCATTTTCAGGTGGTCATGTGACTTGTCAGCTACCGTGACATAATGTTTGTTTGTTTGTTACTGTGTGATCTTCCAGGTGAGGATTCCCTCAAAAACGGACAAACCAGGAGGAAGCCCAGTCAGACACATGACGACAGAGGTCAGAGGTCAAACTGTTTGTCCTTCATTCTGTTCTGAATAAAGTTTCATACTCATATTTGTATATCCTCAGAATGTCCTGCCGGCTCCGACTCTGCTGCCAACCCTCCACGAATTGGACCTTTTCAAGTCAGAGCTCAATTCTTTTTGTTCTTCGTCATTTGACGAGTTTCAGTCTTGTGACTCTGATGTGACCTTTGATCTCTGAGCAGGAGCTTCCAGTCGCTGCTGATCCACCTGCAGATGCTCTGGGAGCTCACCTTACTCGGAGAACCGGTGGTTGTCATGGCGCCATCTCCCAACGTCTCCTCAGAGACCGTGCTGGCTCTTGTCAGGTATCTGAAAGTCCAATCAGATTCACTTTTGTATCTTTGTGACATCAGAGGTTTAACAAGATGCTGGCAGCCAATCAGAGAGCAGTGTTTGTGTTGTTGCCGTGTTGACAGTGTGTGTTTCTTCAGCTCCATCAGTCCTCTGAAGTTCTGCTGCGACTTTCGACCTTATTTCACGATTCATGACAGTGAATTCAGAGAATACACGACGAGGACGCAGGCGCCGTGAGTCACTAACACTCCTGAACTCACCTGTGTGTGTATGTATGTATGTGTGTGTGTGACCTGACCTGTGTGTGTGTTTGTCTCTCTTTGTGACCTCACGTGTGTGTGTGTGTGTGTGTCAGACCTAACGTTCTTCTCGGAGTAACAAACCCGTTCTTCATCAAGACGTTTCAGTCGTGGCCTCACATCATCAGACTGGGAGACGTCAGGATGACAGGTATTATCCTCTTTTATTTCTTCCTCTTCATCAGGGAGTTTTTACTCCACAGTCTCAAAGTGCTGCTCATTGTTGAACTGTTGGTTTCTCTATATGAAGAAGATTTTAAGATCTTGACCTTCTAAGTAAAGAGCCTTGATATAATGTATATTATGATTTGGCACTATACAAATAAAATTGAATTGAATTGAATCATCACTTCTTTTATCATCACTGTGTTGCCATGGTGACAGGTCAGTTGCAGTAAATGGTTTGATTAATCCAGGACTAAAGTTAATGATCTGATTTCTTCCAGGTGATTTACCGAAACAGGTGAAGGTGAAGAAATTATCTAAGTTAAAGATACTCGACACAAAACCAGGTAACGAGTGTGAGTGGACTTGTACAGAGGTGTTTATGGGGACCGGTTTGAGCCTGTAACCTACAGAGTGAGGACATTTTGTGTGGTCCTCACTTTTTCATCCTTACCTGACTGTTCGAGGGTTAAGACTTTGTTTTATAATAATAATAGTAATAATGGCTTGTGTTTATATATTATATTTAGGTCAGAATCAGGGTCAGGGTCATTTAGTTTGGATGGTTTAGGTTTAGGGAATGTATTAGTGTCCTCACTAAGATAGATGTACATAGATGTGTGTGTGTTCATAGTATGTGTGTGTTTGTGTGTGCAGGGATCTACACGTCATACAAGACATTTCTTCACAAAGACAAAATTCTGATTAAACGACTGTTAAAGGTAAAATGAACATGAATCAATCACGTGACGCCATGAATCACGTGACGCCATGAATCACATGACATGAATGTTTAACATGTGTCTGTATGTGTGTTCAGGGGATTCAGAGGAAGAGGCCGTCAGAGGTGCAGAGCGCCATCTTGAGGAGACACCTGTTAGAACTCACTCAGAGCTTCATCATTCCTCTGGTAAGAAATGTGATGTCACAATGTTTTGTTGTCAGGTTGCAATCATCAGACACGCAAAGATGATCTGATTAGAATATGAAGGTCAAAGGTAACCGGACTTCTGGGTTTTCTCACTGTTTAGAAATGAATGTCCGTCAGATAAATAACGAGTAATAAAAGTTGTTTTCCTCTTTAAAAATGTTTTTTTCAATATTAGACTCAGTGTGTACACAACACACTCATTGTTGCAGCCACACACTTGTTCTATCATGGTGTCAAAACATCTAAAAGTGATTCACATGATCAACTTCTATCAGAGCATCATTTTATAACCTTTGATTTCTCATTATATATTATTATTATATATAGACTACATGCCATAAATGAAAAACTCATTTTCTAGATGTTTGTCTGATCTGCTGTGGCTAAATTTAAAGAAATAATTCCAGGGACCAGTTGTCTGTATTATCCGTCGATATAACAGAAGAATTATTTAAACTTCCACTGAGATCAACCATCTTGTCGATAGCTCTGTAAACTCATTACGACTAACAATAGGCTCTTTAGCTCCTTAGCTCCTCTAAAAAAGAAGCATGTAAAACAAAGTAAACTAGCTCCCTGGTATAATTCCAACACACATGAATTAAAACAAGCGCCAAGAAAGCTAGAAAGGAAGTGGCGCTCCAAAAACTGTGTTGAAAATCATCTAGCCTGGAAAAGATAGAATTTATAAGACGGCTCCACAAAGCAAGAGCTGCTCACTACTCCACATTAATAGAGGAAAATACTTTGATTTCAAAATGTACAATCTCCTGCCCTCAGTTGACACTAATACACCATCAAGCACAGAGATCTCAGAAACAGCTGAGAATCTTACCAATCATTTATACAGCTTCTCTCTCATCACCCATCATATTACTTTACTGAATATAATCAATCTATATTATCATCAGGGTATTTACCACAGTCCTTTAAGATAGATGTAATCAAACCCCTTCTCAAACTCCCTGGAGGTTTTAACCAACTACAAACCAATATCCATCCTCCGCTTCCTGTCTAAAATCCTGGAGAAGGTTGTAGCCAATCAGCTGTGAGAGTTTCTCCAGGAATTTCATCTGAAGACTTTCAGTGTTAGAACTCATCACAGCACGGAGACAGTCTTAAAGTCATTAATGACCTTCTGATAGCTTAGAACAGTTAAGTGGCACGAAAGGAACCATCCTAAACTGGTTTGAATCCTATTTATCAGATTGATTTCAATTTGAGTAAATTCATGTCATCTATGCACAACCACAATTAACCATGGTGTTCTTCAGGGTTCTGTGCTCGGCCCATTTTATTCTCATTATGTATTCTCCCACTAGGAAACACTATCAGGACACACATTTTCCACTGCTATGCAGACGACACCCAGTTGATCAATAAAACCCCTGATGGTTAAGAACAGAGGAAGTTGCTCCTTGTTAACATCTATGAGACCAATAAAATGTGATTGATTGATTGATTGATTGAAAAATCTAAACATCCAATCACAGAGCAGGAAGTCTACTCCCGTCATCCCAGTAACCCTGAGTTTTGTCTTTCAGGAGCGATACATGGCGAGCCTGATGCCTCTGCAGAGATCTGTGACACCCTGGAAGGTAAACAGGAAGTGGTTCATAATTGATGATGTCATCAGTCAGGAGATGTCACCTGACGTTTTTCGTGTCGTTTCAGACGCCTCCTCTTATTCGACCTTTCAGTCAGGACGATTTTATATCGACTCTGGATCACACCGGACCTCAGCTGACATCGTTGCTCAAAGGTGATTGGACAGGACTGTACAGGTGAGTCGCTCAGGTGTTGCCAGCTCGGCTTCCTGTTCCTGTGCTAGTGCGTGAAAATTGAAAACATCTTCTCGACTCAACAGGAAGTTTTTCAGGTCTCCGAACTTTGACGGCTGGTATCGCCACCGCCACAAAGAGATGAGTCAGAAACTGGAGAGTCTCCACCTGGAGGTCATCTGTGACGCTGTGAGTTATGACATCACATGTTAGTTAATGACACCACACATTTGTCAGCTGACTCTGGCGTTTGTCTTCAGGACCTGATCGGTTGGACCAAAGACAAATCTGAGGTCGAGATCGTCGACCTGATTCTGAAGCTCAGGGAGAAACTGGTGAGTGAATCAGGGTCACTGCAAAACCACATGAGACCACATGAGAATACATAGGACTACAGGAGACCACATGAGACTACATAGGACTACAGGNAACTGTAACTGCAGGAGTAACTACAGGAGTAACTACAGGAGTAACTGTAACTACAGGAGTAACTACAGGAGTAACTACAGGAGTAACTGTAACTGATGATGATTACTTTGATTATGTTGCAGGTTTGTGTGTGTGTGTGTGTGTGTGTGTGTGTGTGTCTCTGTGTGTGTGTGTGTGTGTGTGTGTGTGTGTGTGTGTGTCTCTGTGTGTGTGTAGCAGTTGTATTAGCCACCCTCCTCTTGGCGTCAGTGTGTTGCTTCAGGGGACTGGGAGGGTCGAGATGATGTCATGACTCAGACCGGAACAGATCTCACACACACACACACACACACACACACACACACACACACTCTCTCTGTTGTGTATCTGATGTGTGTGTCTGTCTCTGCAGGATCTTCAGGACTCAGCTGCTGCTCTGACTCAGTAAGTCTCAACTTTTCTTTCTTCATGAAGTGACTTTGTTCGTGTTCCTCTGGTGTGACTGAACAACAGGTGGCGCTGCAGGAGGGTTGTGTTAGTGTGTTAGTGTGTTAGTGTGTTAGTGTGTTTGTGTGTTTGTGTGTTAGTGTGTTAATGTGTTTGTGTGTTTGTGTTACGATCACAGCTGCGGCTCATCACAGAATCTGAGTCGTTAACGTCTCGCCGTCATAATGATCCAGATGTTTGTCACTGTCCTCCTATGTAAACATCTGATGCGCCCCCTGGTGGTTGGAAACGCCCTCTGACTTCAGATGCACACACATCAGGCAGACAGGGATCGAACTATCAAGCTTCTGGTTAGTGGACGGCCCGCTCTGCTTGAGCCACTGCTGTCCTGGACATGTTCGCCACATGTTCTCGATTCTTCCTGCACATGCTCCAGACATGTTCTAGATATGTTCTGGACACGTTCTCACCAACACACACACACAACACACACACTGACACACACACACAACAAACAACAAACAACACACACACACACACAGCTCATTGTGTGTGTGTGTGTGTTGTCAGGTTGGATTAGATGAACAACACTTGTCCTCGTACATTCTCTGTTCTCCTCCTCTTTCCCTCCTTCCTCACCTCCTCCCTCCTTTGTCCTCCTCCCTCCATCTTCTCGTCCTCTGTCTGTTCACGTCTTTTCTCCCTTTGTTCTTCTCTCCTCCATCGTCCTCTATTCTCCTTCTCCAGCTCATCCCTCCATCTCTCTCTCACCTCTCACTTCTCCTCCACAGTCTCCATCTCTCTCCTCACCTCCCCCCTCCGCCCCCCCGAGGAGACAGTGCAGGGCCACAATTTACATCTTGATATATCAGCTCCCTGCAGCAGCGGAGGCGGTGATGGATGGCGTGTTGCCGGTGCCGCGGCGCTGCAATGAGTTACCGTGGTGATTACCGACAGAGACGGGTACCCACTGGCCACTTCATCACGGTGACTGGTGGAGAGGAAGGAGAGAGACGAGGGAGAAAAAGGAGAGAGGGGCAGAAAAACAGAAAGAGAAGAAAGAAAAACCCAGTTGGAGGAGAGAGCGAGGGAGGAGGGCAGCGGTGACTTGTTGTGGCAGGAAGCAGGAACGAGATCGTTACAGGAAGAAGAAGAAGAAGATGTTTTAAACCAAAGTAAACATCCTGGTCTTTTCTCTTGAAGAAGATTCAGACCATCAGAGATTTAAATGATAGAAGAGTCGTTACGTTAAATTCATATTTATTCATTTATTCATAACGTTGATAAAAATCCTGAATCAAATAGTGGACATGTGGTTCACAGTGATGATGTCATCATAGGCGTTAACGTTGGTAAAAACCTTATCATTATTTCCTGCCCTAAGAGGAAGACCCGCCCCTACTCTGCCTCTGATTGGCTGACGCTGACCATCTTCTTGAAGTCCGACCAATAATCTTCAAGATTAAACACGAACCATCGGAATTAATGAGAATAACACAAATAAATAAATAATGAATGAATATGGAAAATGACTAATTATCTAAAATGATTAATACAAATAAACTGGAAATTAATACAAAAGTAGATAAATCGACACAAATGAAAACAGAAATAAACGAAGTACCAGTATTTATTAATTTCACATTCATGTCATTAACTGACTCGTTAATTATTTCTTAATTGATCATTTCACAGTTTTTTTTCCTCCATTCTCTGACTTCACTGTTTCTATGAAACGTCTCCGTGTCTTTCATGTCTCCAGCTGTTGACGTCCAGCGGAGGAAACTCTGACATGTCCTCCCTCCTCCTCCTCCTTCCTCCTCCTCCTCCTCCTCCTCCTCCTGCATGTTCAAACCTGAGGAGAAACAGATCGATGCTGGTCGTCCTCTTGTTTCTCTCTCAGATTTTGAAAGTTACAGGTTCAGGATGTGAAGGAAACACTGACTCTCTGTGAACGTGATGTTTCATATTTAAATCTTAACCAACAATCATCTGATGCTTTAATTAAAACTTTTCTGTTTTTATATATTTTCCGCAATTAATTAGTTTAGTTGTTTATAAATGTGTTCTGTGCATATACTGCAGTGTGTGTGTGTGTGTGTGTGTGTGTGTGTGTGTGTGTGTGTGTGTGTGTGTGTGTGTGTGTGTGTGTGTGTGTGTGTGTGTGTGTGTG